AAAACAAGAACACAATTGGCATGGGGCGGTTTCGGCAAACTAGCATATATCTTGAAAAACACCTCAATTCCTGTTAAATTAGGTGTAGGTGTAGTAAAAAAGGCGTAGATTATTACAAGAATAGAAACACCGAGATAAGACGTAGAATGAAGATTAGGGATATTGTGGAAGAAATTACAAAAATGAAATGGCGCTGAGCAGGTCACGTAGCCAGAAATGATGACAACAGGTGGACACGGAGAATTCTAGAATGGAGACCAAGGACGACAACAAGAAGCATGGAAAGACCTCAAAAAAGATGAGTAAATGGCATAAGAGTAGTGGATTAGATTGGCGCCAGATAGAGAAAGATGGAAGCAATTGGGAGAGACCTACATTCAGGAGTGGATGGAAAATGGTTGACAAAGAGAGAGACTTCCCGTTAGAAAATCCATGTTGTTTATCAATAATTATGTTTCTGCAAGCCCAGTGAGAATTATCGATACCAATTGATCAAGAAGTTTTGGATTGATGATTGAATCGTAATATCTCAATAATTGTTAACACACTCACGATTTCTAGATTTATAGATAGGCGTAAGAAAACTATTTTTCCAATATTGTGGAAATATAGATGATGACAATGATAAATTGAAAATTTGTTGTAAATGTTTACAAAGAGAAAAATACAGTTCTTAATAAGTGCTGCAGGTATACCAACAGGCCCTGAAGAATATGTAGTTTTTAAACTCATAATCCCCTCGAAAACATCAGTCAGACCAAATATCAGAATCTGGAAATCCACACTATAGTCCAATTTAAAATTAGGTAAATTATATTCACGATCATTATATGTACCTGAAAAATAGCTGGTAAAAACATTAACTATTTCATCATCATTCTGAGCTATTACAATTAATATTGAGCTGTCTGGACAACTCGGGAACCCATAATTGTCTACTGCTGTATAGTCTTTGGGTACGAAGTCTTTTCTTATCATTTTAACTAAAATACTTACAACTGTAGCTTTCAAAAGTTGCCTTTGGAGCTGTGGGTGAGACATTATTGGGTCTCTCCTAGCTAATTGGCCAATGGAACGATCGTGGCGAGCCATTGTTACTTTTTTACTACTTTGTCTTAGTCTATTCTTATGTGTTACCAGTGGCGGCTCGTGGCTTTAGAGACAAGGTCGGCAAGGTACTTTTTGTCTCCAAAAAAATCTTCACAAGAAGAAGAAATAAAGACTTCAATCTTCATAGGAGATTTTTTGTTTTTTTTTTCTATAAATTTTGAACCTAAACATGTTTATAAATTAACTCTAGTCTACGTTGTTTGGAAGTAGTAAAATGGATTTAATGTCATCGTAAAATTATTAGAGTTTTGGAGATTTTAAAGTTTTTTTCTGTTGATATTTGGGACAAGCTTGACATTCTCTCTTGTTTCATGATGTTTCGACAATGCGTTTTGATTCTTTTAAGATAAGAGAAATCTCGTTCATTTGAGACAGACGTTGGTGATAATAAAAGAATTAATGACAATAATTTATTAATTTCTGTAACAGTTTGTTGTAATTAATTGCAGTATATAAAATTATACATATTATCTTGTAACTTATCCCACCTTCCGAAAATGTTTGGATCAGCATATGAAACTTTTAATTCATTTTCCAATTTTACTTTATAAAATAATTATGAATAATTTTTAATTACCCTGTCTAATAAATATCTTGAAAATTCTTTGGCGTAACTTTTAAATTTTGAATCGTCAAAGAGGTCAAAAATTTGCAAATCTTCAAAATTCGAAAAACGAGCATCTATTTGCATAATAATAGCATTCAAAATTTCAAAATATACTCGTTTCTCGAGATCTGTTTCTGTGTCATGTCTTTGTCTTTTTTTGGGGGTTCGGAAATATCAACTGAGTCCAAGACGTCACTGCGTATATACTGGAAATTACTATCATTACGAAAATCTCTGAGACTTTGCCCAGGTTTTGTTATTCTATTTTTGGAATGAATAATGTCAGTTAACTGATTTTAAACAACATTGAATATCAAATCAGTTTGAATAAACACTTTCTAAAAAATATTTAAAAGTATGTTAAAAGAGCAATCATTTAATAAAGTTTTTAAACCGATTGCTTTAAGGAACGAAATATCATCACTTTCAAAATCTTCGCATTCAATAATAAAATCAAAAACTTCCCAAAGCTGTTCACGAGAATCTGCTACAGTGAAAACTAACCGAGATTTAAAATTTCATCGCGTCTGACAAACTGTTGGCATTTTTTTCGAAACAAACCGTTCTAAAACATTATGTCCGTTTAGGCGAGCTTGAGAAAAATGAAGCAAATGCGTTTCATCATCATCAGTGGTGCTACAGCTCTAGTTGAGCCTTGACCTTCCCCAGTCTATTTCGCCAGTCGTTTCTGTTCATCGCCAACCGTTGCCAATTTGCCGCGCCGATCTTCCTTGCGTCCTCGTCCACACCGTCCCTCCATCTCAGTCGTGGTCTGCCTCTACTCCTGTTTCCCACTGGGAACCGATAACAGAGTTCGTCTGGGTGGGTAATTTTCATTTGCTCTTGACACATGTCCAGCCCATCTAAGCCTACCTATTTTATGAAGGATATTACATCTCTACCATTTACTATTTTTTTATACTTCTCGTACAATTCGAAATTATATCGCCTTCTCCAAATACCATTCTCACAGAATGCGCCCATTATTCTTCTTAGTATCTTCCTTTCGAAGACGAGCAGAAGATTTGCGTCTGTTTTGGAGATGGTCCATGTTTCTGACCCATATGTCAGCACTGGTAGGATGAGTGTTCGAGCAAATGCGTTTAAACTGGCAAAAAAAAGGCGACATTCTTTTCTTTTCTTTTACATGTATCCTGCAAAACTAAATTCATTCTATGCGCATGATAGTGAGTAAATAAAGCTGGCGGTGCAATAGTTTTAACTTTTGCATTTAATTCACTAGACATCACGGCAGCTCCATCCAGCACTAATATTTATAATCCTGAACATTTTAGGTAAAGGACGCCACTACTTTGCCGTAAGAATAGATGAAAATCCATTTTGCAAAATATAATTTACAATAACAGATTTATCAATACTTAAAGTTTCTCTCATAGCTTGCATTTTTTAGGATAATTTACCTGAGAAACCGAAAAAGAAAAGCTAGCTTGTGCACTCAATATCACCTCACTACGTAAGTTTTTAAGTACTTATCCATCCAGAAATAACATTTCATCCGGCGCTCGTAAGATACACTTAGCGACCAATCACCAATCCAAATGAAGCATCGGCAAATTTAAACTTGTCGTACTTGGCAATTAATATGGAAAGACATGTATGTTTGGTTGCTCATTAACTAATATTCCGTTGATTTTTACATATAAATCGTCAAGCTTGGGATCGGCATGCCGAAAACCCGAAACGTGTCTTTTTAAGAATTCACACAGGCGGATGGATGTCTCCGATTTCGGATAATTAATTTGAAAAGTGTCTTACGCAGGTATCACTTAACGCTCAGATTGGACAAATTCTTTTAAAACCCATGAATAAAATTTAGTCTTTATTATCTCACATAATATATTTTTTTTTATTTCACAGAAACAAATGACATCAACTGATTACCTGCCACAATTAATTACCTATCGAAAAACTGATTAAAGTAAATATTAAAAAAAATCTATAATATCTATAAAGGTGTGGGTTGGCACTGACGACCCTGACCGGCCGCCACTGTGTGTTACTAATTCCTTATACCTAACGTAAGTTTTTGACCCAACGCCCTGTGTTACGCCTACTTTTTTTTTAAGAAATAAATATTGCTTTAAAATATATGGCGATTCCATATAAGTTTGGTTGTGTGTAAATATAATCTGTGTGTAGAGAGAAATATTCAAAAATGACCGTAGAGCGGTGTACTAACGACTTAAAAATAGTCAGGCTGATGAAATCGTTTTGAAATGATTAAACTCTAAAGGAGCTTGATATTTTCTGAGGGCAACTTACAAAGTTTTCACTTATCTCCGAGTATATCTGGACTTTCTCAATAATAAAATCTTTTCATCTAAGACGTCCACGTCTCCCAAATAAAATGTTTTAATGATCTCCACTTCAAAATTAACCACAGATAAAGTTGTAATAAATGCCTACTTAAATCAAAGTGAAATTTAAAATTTTTCTTTAAGTAATTATTCTTAGTTCTCCTCAAGCTTTAAAAGTTTGAAAACGTCGCGAGCATAACGTCTTATGATTAGATAATTAGATACTTATATTTGTAGGCTAAATTCCTAGGATTTTTATATTTTCCGATTGTATTTATATTGTTTTTCATATGGAGGCCGGCAATTGTTTATTAACAAATAACTAATACACAAAAGCAATTTCAACCTAATTGCTTCGGAATCAATTTTTTTTAGGTGTATCTCATCAAAATAAACACTTTTTTCTCTCTTGATAATTTTTCGAAAAATGCTTCCTTTTCGAGTTATTTGCATTTTTTTTGTTGAAAAAAATGCCTTAATTAGTGATTTTTGGGATTTTTTTTTTCTAAAAAGCTACTAAATGAATTGCAATTCTACAAATAGCTTTATAATCTTTAAACCGTCGAGTACAAGTTAGAATATTTTGACAAGGATAATTTTTTCTTGCTAAAAACGTGGGCCCAAATATTTCGAATATGCCTTTCGAGCAGTCTACCGCTAAGTGTGTACAGCGGTTGCGGCGATACAGGCGTGCGGCGCGTAGAAATATTTGTTTAGATTTAAAAAATTAATTTAATACAAATATTACGTACAATTTATTAAAAAAAAAAGATATTTATAATTATTTTTATATAGACATATTATAATTAAAACAAAATTAATTTTTTACAATGCTATAATAATGTAATTTTTCTTTTAATATACGTGGTGACTCTTTTATTGAATGTTTAATTACAGTGAAATACATTAAGCAATATATAATCAATTTTCATTGAAAAATATAATACAATAAAAATATAATATATTTATACATCGTTTTCATTGTCAATAATTTGAAAATGTTCGTCAGCAGCAACAGGATTTCCATCTAATAAGCTGATTTCATTGTCTTCAATAAAGTCGTCTCTAACATTTTTACAATTCTCTGGTGTACATGTACATACTGCGTAGCATTCTAAATTATAGGAAATACAATTACAATTTTTCGTGGAACATTTTCCGGTACATAAGCAGAAATACTTTTGTAAAATATCTAAACTAGTTTCGCCTTCAAAATAATTAAAATCGAAACAATTATTTTCCATTGTCCAACCATGGTTAATGGATCAAGAGATGAAATAATATTGTTTTTTGCTTGAATCCATTCATTTATTTGCCACTTTGCTCTTAAGTAATGTTGTAATAATGCTGGTTTCGAAGGTGGTAATTTTTCATTAGATGCACACACACTACACTATGACTGTACCATGCCAATGACCATTAGTTGTCGACACATTAACTCAATAAAAAAAAATACGCAACATGTATTTGCACACCCTTACATGTATTTTCAATGTACCCTTACCATAGTCACGCACGGAGCAAATATCGTTGGCGCTAATTTACAATTATCTAAGAAATTTGTAGTGAAATGTAGAATATTTAGTAAGTAACCCAGTATTTACTTACCCACGTAGTATTAAATAAAATTAAAATTTCATTTAATCAATTATCAGATATTTTTCATGTATATATTACATTATTAAAAAAATCGAAAAGATTCGAGCACCTACAGCACCTCAACCGTTGTACACGCTTAGCGGGAAAGGCATATTCGAAATATTTGGGTCCTCGTTTTTAGCGAGATAGAAACCATTTATCCTTGTCAAAATATTTCAACTTATACTCAACGGTTTAAAGATTATAAAGCTATTTGTATAATTGGAATTCATTTAGTATGTTTTTTTAGAAAAAAAAAAATCCCAAAAATCACTAATTAAGGCAATTTTTTAACAAAAAAATGTAAATAACTTGAAAAGGAAGCATTTTTCGAAAAATTACCAGGAAAGAAAAAGTGTTTATTTTGACAAAATACACCTAAAAAAATTGATTCCGAAACAATTCGGTGAAATTGCTTTTTTGTATAAGTTATTTGTTTAATAACAATTGCCCCACTTGTAAAAATTAAAAAAAAAATACATTTCATCTTGGAAAAATATATAGAATCGAATAAAAAAGGTTTGGTGCATTATAAATCCAAAAAGAATTTTAGTAGGTTGATGCTCTGCTTATAGGGGTAAACCGCTCGCCTATTTATGAAGATTCAGAATAGTTTTTACAATATTTTTCAAAGCACCTGAGGGTCACCCTCCACACAGAAATCACCTTCATTTTTGTAATTACCCTTAATCTCTTTTACCAATTGCCAAGCCATTTTAGTTTTATTTTCGCCATTTTCAATTCGTTCTTTATAACAATTTTTTCAAGATTGAGTGAGAAAAGAATTGTATTTGGGTTTATCTGTCCTGTAAATATCTTTATAATCAATATTATCAGTAGACAGTGTAAACAAAACATCAAGCCTAGATTTACAATGTTTTATATCATTATTTTAAAGTACTTTTGTGATTTTTTTATTTTCTGTATTTACGTTTATTTTCCATGCTAAATATTCATTTTTTATTATATTTGAGTCAAATTCATTTAATTCAAATTTTACCTTATGAGCAGTATGATCAAATGTATGAGGATTGAATACAAGAGAATCAAATATGTCAAGATTTGTACAAATATTATCTATACAGGATTTTTTGTTACCTTGTATGCGTGTATAGTCTTTGATGGAAGGTTTAATATCAAAGGAGCTTAAAAAACCTTTTTAATGTGTCTGGCCACCCCGCACCCTCAAACAGACATATCTAAGTTTAAAATCACCAGCCAGAAAAATGATGGAGTCTTTGTCAACTAAATCACAAAGTATTTGGTCTAATTTGTTTATTAAAACTTGTGGGTCTTCTGTTCGGTAGATGGATAGGATTACAATCTTCTTCCTTATTAATTCGCACCTCTGCAGCGGAACACTCAAACAACGTTCTTTCTTTATGTATACCGTACTGCCACTATGCTCCTGTGAACTGCTTCTACAATATGAAGAGATCAGTTTAAAATTCCGCACATTGTAGTCCCGTAGTTGTTTTTCTGTTTTCCAGTGGCTAGTTAAACAAAGAGCAAAGCATTCATCATAATCTTCTAGGATAAAATTAATGGCATCAATATTTGTTTTAATTGATTGCCTATTTAAGTGGATTAATTATAATTTCTTTTGGTGTATGCCATAGACTGTCTTTTGACACTGGGGTGCCTCTGTACATTCTGAAAATGGTTTAAAATTACATCTTTCGGCCATACTTCTTGCTGCATTCAATGAGGTATTTTTAGTTCTGGAACAGTAGTTTTAAATGAACTTTTGTACTTATCTGTCCTGGTTTTCATTTTTTCGCAGATAACGTTTTCATCCAGTTTTCTTTCTTTTGGATAGTTAAGTATTTCCTGAGATTATGTTTTTGGATAAGCTTTTACCTATATAAACTCGGCGACAGCTTCAATCTTCACAAGAAAATTAAGGAAATTGCTGGTGTCTTCAAGAAAAAACAAGGCACTGGTATCCATAATGACCAAAATGAACTAATAACGGACCCTAGCGATATACTTAATACTTGGAAAATGTACACAGCCAATTTGTTCAATGATGACAGAACACAAAAACCACCACAACTGGGAGACCATTTGTATGGCCCAAGTAGTTTTGAAAGCTGAAATTGTACACGCTATCAAACTATTAAAACGTAACAAAACCCCGGGACCAGATGATATGTACGCAGAAACAATCAAGTTACTTAATGAAGAAAAACCTAGACAAATTGTCAAGCTCTTTAACGACATCTACGATACTGGCCAGACTCCAAAAGATTGGCTTCGATCTACATTTATCGCCCTACCAAAACACCACGTGCGAACTTCTGCAAGGACCACCGACTAATAAGCCTAATGAGTTACTTTTTAAAACTTTTCCTGAGAATACTTCACACTAAATTGTTTAAGAAATGTGAAGAGGTCAGTGGATGGAGTCAGTTTGGTTTCATAAATTGACTTGGCGCGAGAGAAGCGATCTTTCCAATCTGTATTGGAACCAGACAGCAACAGTAAGTTTTCAAAATTTCAACGAAACAGAAGATTTCTCCATTAAAAAAGGAGTAAGGCAAGGTTGTATATTGTCTCCAATGCTATTTAATTTATACGTAGAAAAAGCCTTCGCAGAAGCAGTGGCAGACTCTAATAAAGGTATTAAAGTTAACGGCACATTTATTAATAACATCAGGTATGCCGATGATACAGCCATAGTGGCAGATAACATCGAAGATCTTCAATGCCTTTTAAATGATCTAACTCTTGCAAGTGAAGCTCGGGGTCTGAAAATAAATAACAAGAAGACAAAAACAAAGATTATAAGTAGAAATGATTATTCCAACGCAAGTATGTATCTGGAGAAGAAATCGAACAGGTTAGGCAATTCAAATATTTGGGTTGTTTGCTGAACGAGGGTTGGGACCCCGAGAATGAAATAAAGAGCAGAGTTGAACAAGCCAAAAATACTTTTTTTCTTCGGCTTCGTAAGTTTCTGACTGATCGCAAATTGGACTTCTACCTCCGATACAAGATGCTTAAGTGTGGCCTGTTCTCCTATACGGAATGAAAGCATGGACGTTAAAGGCTAGTTCCATTAACAAACTTGAAGTGTTTGAAATGTGGTGCCTGCGTCGAATGCTCAGAATATCATGGACGGACAGGGTCAGAAATGAGGACGTACTCAGAAGAACGGGCTTACAGATAGGGAACTTTTTAGTTATGTAAAAAGTAAGAAGACTTCATACTTGGGACACATATTACGAGGAGAAAGATACACTTTTCAGCAACTGATACTCGAAGGGAAGATAGACGGTAGGAGAGGTCTGGAACGTAAAAAAATGTCATGGCTGCACCATATTCGACAATGGACAGGAATCCACAGCTATGAAATGCTTCGCTATGCCGCTAAAAAATAGAATAAGTTATTCCTGAATATTTAACATCTCACCTGACAAGACGATGTACGGTGGACGCCTACGCAGAAATGCACGGCACCTTAAGAAGAAGATGTTTTTGGATCGTAACCTGACAGGAAAATCGCCATATGTTTTGTGGCCATACGTAAGATACTTCCAGCAATCTCGTTGGTTCCCTGGAGTGGATCTGGTCATTCAATAAGTGTTGGACGAGTTGTTTTGTAAAAAGCTCTTTTTGGGTTTCCCATTTATCATTTTCATCTTCAATCAGCGGATGGTTGATATCTTTAACAGGCGTCACAGGTGCAATTGAACTGTTTAATATTCTTGGTATAGGTGGCAGCTCAGACAAATCACCAGAATAAAGTGGCTGTTCTGTGGCTGCATCAACTAACTTTGTAGCCTCTTTTAAATCATTTTGTTCTTTGAACTCTTATTGTTATTCTTAGTTTTTACAGCATTTTTTATCTCCATGGAATTTTTTACATTCACATCCAAAAATTAGTTCATTTAGCAGATGAATGATCGTATTTTCCATGTCATCCCCACTATTTAAGGTTATGTTAGAATCACAACAAATCACACGCGTTTCATCTAAAATTTGAAGTTTTCCGGTCCAATCCCGTGCCCTGCATGATTTATGGAAGGCTTTTCCACACTTCACACATATTATTGTGCTTATTTTCTTAGTTTTGCAACAAGTAAACTTTGTTTTTTCGCTCTCACTGTCGCGATTATCATTATTGGATGCCATCCTTTTATTGGTGATCTTTTTATTGCTGCTGTTGAATATTGAATATTCAACAGAATGAAAACCGTAAACCGTTTAATAAAGATAAGTCACGTCACTGGTAGATGGTAAATACTTATCTATCACTATTTATCACTATGAAAGCTATAAACCTCTCATTGCAGTTATTGCAATTTACAAACAAACAAATTGTTTTTTTCAAAAAAGAATGATGATCTTCATATACGGTTTTTTTGGGAGCAATTGCTAATGACATCCTTCGAGGTCGATTGATTTTTATGTTTGTGTGTGTGTGAGTAGGCTTAAGTGTGACAAGGACTGTGTCTCTAGCTACTATTATTC